TATTTTAAAAACAAAGGACAAAATTTGGCAGTGGTTCCTAATGCCTCTCCAAACCTATTTTGGAGTCCTCAAAACCAAAATGTAACAAGGCAACTTCATTTTTCAGTGAGTCGAGGGTCTGTGCTATCTGAATATCAGACTCCTTTAAGGGGGGCTCCACTGAGGACCCCAAGACGACAGCACCCCAATGCCAATCATCCGCCTGGGAAAAAACAAAGCCCTAAACTGTTTTTCCCCCTATTCATTTTAACATTTTGTTTCATTATGAAGAACTCCAGCTTTGGTACAAACAACCCACCGCCCCAGAGTTCTTCGTTGGGGTTGGCTGACACAAACAATGCAGTCATGGCTAAGAATACTCCCCCTCCTCCAGCCCCACCACCCCGGCAACTCCCAGCACAAGGAGGGTGTTTTGTACAACCGCTATTCACATGTCTACAAGCGGGGGGGAAACAACGTCTGAGAGGCTTTGGGACTGTTTTTCCTAGGGCAGGAGGGGAAGTCCCAGGACTGTTGTACCCCTTCCTCAAAAAAAATCTGGGAGAAGGCTGAACCCCCAGATCTTCCTTGCTTCCAACCCCCTCCTTTAAACATCACATTAAGGAGCCTCTTTTACGTTTAACCACCGCTTTTAAATACCCAGCAACGCTATTCAGGGCTGTTCGCTGTATCTTTAAGGCAGGGCTACTCAACACACGGCCTGCAGGTGGGATCCTTTGAACATGGCTTCCACTGGGAACACGCTCCCATGTGGGGTGAGCATTGAAAGATGCAAGTGGACGGGCTGGCTGGAACAGGTGGGTACAGGGTGTCGGCATTTTTAGCCCCCAGGGAGGAGGTGCCGGGAGCGCCAGGGCATTGTGGGAAGTGCTGGCTGCTGAGCCTTGTGGGCAGAGCTTGAGAGGGGCTGATTGGCTCACACTGGCCACGTTTGGGTCCAGTGCTGCAGCTTAAGGCTTAATCTTTGTATTCATGCCTGTCAGTATGAAAGAAGCAATTTGCATATATTTGCATGTACATGCAACCACACTTAAGTTGCAGCCCTTGGCATGTGTGGGGAGTATCCTTGTGGCCCCTGAGGCTTCCGAAGTTGAGTAGCCCTGCTCTAAGGGATGCTGCCCGGCAGCTGTTCGAGAGTATTGAAAACAGGTGAGGCTGGAGCAGGAAGTCTGTTCCTTGCTCCCTCCCCCGATGTTACACACAGTCCAGGCTCCTCCCCAGAGTGGCTCGCACTTGTCGTGGCTCAATGACGATCCCGAGTCAACTGGGGCGAGCAGCATCTTGCATTATTAACCACTTCAATGCCGGCCTTCCCAGCAGAACATCCCTCTTGACCACTGGACCTTCCAGGCATTGCTGCTGGGCAGCGCAGCACGAGGGGTTAAATCCTTCCCCCCCAGCCTACCAGGATGCCCCTCTAGTGTTGGCTTGCGTGCGCTTTCGAACAGGCACGTCTAGTGTGAGCTTCGTGCAACTTCACAGAGAATGGACCCAGACGGGAGGTGTCATCCAGCTGGCATCTGACCGTACCAGCTAGGGGGAAATGAACGCTTGAAGACATCAGAGACACGTGGCTTCCTCCCAAGGTTTGATCGTCTCCCAGCCAAGGGATGGCAAAGTCATGCAAGCCCTCAGCAGGGGCCGCCCCCTCCCGCCTCGACAAACAAAATAAATAAATTAATCATGGGAAGGGGGGGAGGGGCATGGCAAACCAGACGGCTCCCTTCCCCCAGGGAAGGAAAAAAACGGAGCTGGGGCTCGAAGAGATTAAAAAAACAGCCCAGGGTCCGGCCGTGGTCCTCCTCCCCCTCCACGATTTGGTTTCTATTTGGTGCAGTTTTTCCCAGAGTCTCTTGTCTTCCCCCTGCAGCTCCAGGGAAGTCTGCAGCAACCGCGTCAGCCACTCGGCAACGGGCAGGCGGAGAGTTGGTGCCTGTTTCTAACTGTCCAAGGAACCGCCCTCCCCGTCTTTGAGCTCTTGGCTGCTCTCCACCTCCTCCGGAATGTCCTGCATCCTTGAAAACTCTGCAAGGAACAAAACACCCCGACTGATGAGTTCATGCCCTGAGACATCGGTAATTCATGCACTAACACCCCCTTCCCAGGGCACCAAGTCTGCCCTAGAGCCCAGTATCATTTATCCCCATTATACAGACAGGAAGACTGAGGCACGAGTGGAGGGAAGACGTGGCCAAGGTAACGCAGCAACTCAATGGCCAGGACAAGATTTTCCATGACTCCTGACTCCCAGGTGCACCCCCCTTCCCCCCCACCCCGGTTCCCCACCTCCCCTCCCAGGGCTGGGAACACAACCCAGGAGTCCTAGAGAAGGGCAGGGGAACTCGGCATTGAACTGTAATGCCTAGGAGACACCCAAGGCTGCCCAGTGCAGAACAAGTCCCGTCCCTCCGCCACAATTGCCCATTTCCACGTCAGATCCTACGCAGCCTCATTGAACCGAGGCCCGGAAGCTCCAGCTTAGTTGCACAGGAACAGACTGGTCCCCCGCATACATGGGCAGGATCAAACCCAGAGCCAGGAGCACAAGTTAAGGTGGCTGGGGTGGCCTCTCGAGGGGGACACTACTACACGCATCATCCTGACCTCGAGGGCTGGAAGGCGGGGAGTGATGGCAGGCCACGTCCTCGTCCTCAGACAACGCCTCTGAGTCCTCGTCGCACTCCTGCAGCCGCTCGGGGCCGTCGCAGTAACCCGGCTCCTCCCGCGGGCCGTGGCTGGTTCCCTCGCCC